CCACAGAACATGTGGGGGGAAGCTGTTTTGACAACAAATCATATCCTGAATAAAATACCACCTAAAGGGAAAGATGAAACTCCTTACGAAATGTGGAAAAATCGTAAGCCGTCTTATAAGTACCTGAAAGTGTGGGGGTGTTTGGCTAAGGTTTTAGTACCTGAACGAAAACAAATGAGAATCGGGCCAAAGACGGTCGATTGTGTATTTATTGGATATGCGTACAATAGTACAACATATTGATTTCTGGTTCATAAATCAAAAAATCCAGAGGTATATGTTGGTACCACGATTGAGTCAAGGAATGCTATATTCTTTGAGAATGTTTTTTCTATGAAGGAAATGGCAGAATCTAGTTCTAATAAAAGAACGTATGAAACTGCTAGTGGTTCTGTACTAGAGGGTACTGATGAAGAACCGAGACGTAGTAAAAGGGTAAAAACGGCTAAAACGTTTGGACCTGATTTTATTACGTACATGTTGGACGATGAACCGGGTTCCCTTAAGGAAACTCTGTCTAACCCAGATGGACCACTCTGGGAAAAAGCTGTAAATAGCGAAATCGGGTCCATTATGCAAAATCATACTTGGGAGTTGGTTGATCTCCCTGATGGTTGTAAACTTTTAGGATGCAAGTGGATCCTAAAGAAGAAATATAAAGCTGATGGATCGATTGATAAGTTTAAAGCACGACTGGTGGTCAAAGGATTTAAACAAAAGAAAGGGTATGATTTCTTTGATACTTATTCACCAGTTACGCGTTTAGCATCGACAAGAGTGCTTCTCTCGATTGCTGCTTTGCACAATCTTGAGATTCACCAAATGGATGTCAAAACGACATTTTTGAATGGTGAATTGGAAGAAGAAATATACATGGAACAACCTGAAGGGTTTTTTGCACCTGGACAAGAGAGAAAGGTGTGTAGATTGATCAAATCCTTGTACGGACTGAAACAAGCTCCGAAACAATGGCATTTGAAATTTGGTGACGTGATGTTGACAAATGATTTCAAAATCAATGAATGTGATAAATGTGTTTATGTCAAGAGTACATCAAATACATTTGTGATTGTATGTTTATATCTAGACGATATGTTGATCATGGGGAGTAGCCATGAAGTAATCATGGATACGAAAAGAATGTTGAAGAGAAATTTTGACATGAAAGATATGGGTTTGGCTGATGTTATTCTTGGAATAAGGATTATCAGAACCCAAGATGGAATTGTCTTGTCACAATCTCATTATATAGAGAAAGTGCTCAAGAAATTTGATACCTGTGACGGTGCACAGTCTAGGTGTAAGACACCCCTTGATCTAAGTATAAATCTGGAAGTCAACAAAGGTCAACCAGTGGCTCAGTTGGAATATTCACGGATAATAAGGAGTCTGATGTACTTGACGAAATGTACACGACCAGACTTGGCCTATCCGGTGAATAAGTTGAGCAGATTTACAAGCAATCCCAGTCATGAGCACTGGAATGCTTTGAGAAGGGTACTTAAGTACTTGAGGTACACCCTTGAATACGAGCTAAAATACTCGAGATATCCAGCCGTACTTGAAGGGTACTGTGATGCAAGCTGGATATCAGATTCGAGAGATTCTCGCTCCACTAGCGGATATGTTTTCTGTATTGGAGGAGGTGCAGTTTCGTGGAAATCCACAAAACAAACGTTTATAGCTCGGTCAACGATGGAATCAGAGTTCATCGCTTTAGATAAAGCTGGTGAAGAAGCCGAGTGGCTTATAATTTTTTTATCTGATATTCCATGTTGGGATAAGACTTTGCCACCTGTGATGATTCACCGTGATAGCCAAGCTGCTATAGGTAGGGCGCAAAACAACTTGTATAACGGTAAGTCTAGACATATTCATCGTAGACATAATACCGTACGCCAATTGATCACAAATGGTGTTATTTCCATTGACTATGTGAAGTGTAAGGAAAATTTGGCTGATCCTTTGACGAAATGATTGAATAGAGACAAATTGGCAGTTTTGCTAGAGGGAATGGGCCTAAAAATCCACAATGTAAAGAATGATTATAGTGGTAACCCTACCATGCTGAGTGGAGATCCCACGAACTTGGTTCAAAGGGAAAACTAAGCTATGAAAATTCAGTTGAGCACTTGGAACATATGAATGTCCAAAGCTATTCCCTAGAGCACCCCAAGTGCAAGATGACCTGTTGATTGTGGTAAGGGTAAGTCATATGGACTTTTAATGAATCCCTAATCTTCTAAAGGTGGAGTATAACAGGATACTCTTGATAGGGAGGTCACCTATATAAGTGTGAAGTGTGGGCCGCTTCAAATGTAAACACTTATGAATCCATTGTGTTGTCCATGGCCAAAACGGACACAACGAAAGAATGGAATGGAGTTAAGGCTCTATTGTGTGAATATCATTGTCTCGGTGTACACTATGGAGGAATAGTTCAAGGCATTATGTCCACTAGGCCGCCAGTGCATCCGATGATGTTTACTAAGAAAGGTTCAAAGCCAAAAGCTACATTCTCTGATGCAATAGAGTTTTATGAAGATTGAGCACATAGTATATTTAATTTACACTCATGTGGGGGATTGTTAGGAAAAATATGAGTGTAAAATGGGCCCATCATTTAATTATATTATATCTATAATTAATAGTGTATAATGCACTAATTATTGAGTATGTTAGTTGTAATCATGTGGAGGAATCCACAGCTTGGCAATCAGATGCTTGTAAATGATACTCAATTGGCCACTGATTATGTTAGTTGTAATCATGTGGATGAATCCACAGCTTGGCAATCAGATGCTTGTAAATGATAGTCAATTGGCTAAATTGCTCTATCACTTGCAAATTTGTACTTATAAAAGGCCTTTGTCAGATTGGAGAAAATTACACCGAAAATAAGCACCAAATAGTGAAAGAAAGAGAGGAGAAAGAAAGAGAAAGAAAAGAAAAGAAATAATTCATGTCCAAATATCGGATATAAAAATATCAAAAGAGAAGAAACAAGTGATATTTTTATTTGTTTTAAGATATTCCTTTTATTTTTAAGTGCTCAATTCTCGATTCCGTTCCCGTTCGCCGGAGCTCGTAAATCTGGTGTGCTACAAATTTAGAGACGTTTGCCGTTGTATCTTTGGGGAAGTTACGCCTGAACCGTTAGCTGCCACACGGGGCGTATTCTTCTTGCGAAAAGAGTTTTACTCGCCTCGGCTAAAATCTTTCCGTTTTTCAGTTGTAATTTATTTTTCAGTTCAATTATAATTTTTTATTTTTAGATTATTTGTAAGAGCTGAAAAAAAACATATCAGTTCGTAAGATTCCCGTGTAATTTTACGCCAAATAACCAACATACTGGTCAATCTAGTCTTTGGCCCTCGCAGGAAAGAGGAGGCCCGCCACTAGAGGAAATGCCCTCCGTCAATTAGAGTTTTTTGCTTTTTAGAATTTGCAAAAGAATAGAAGAGAGAGAAAATCCCATACAATATCAAACTCTAAAATAAGATTGAAACCAAAAATCCTTTTATTATCTTTTTTATTCTCTTTCTCTTATGCTTTGCTCTGCGAAACCAAAACCTAATAGTGCAGCAGGTTAAAACCATTAGGAATTCTTTCTCTTCTGCTATGCGAAACCAACGAAAGCGAAACCCTAGCCGTCTCCCTCCAAGTTGACTTCGTCCGCCTTCTTCAGCGGCCACCGAGCCTAGCCGGCGGTCGGCGGTCCCTAACAGCTTGAATCCCCCCATTTTTTCTTCTGCTCTGCCTCCCGTTTTCTTTGGATCGAGTCCTCTTCGGTCGCGGATGGTCTTCGCCTTTTCGGCGCCGTTCCGCTAAATCCATTGGGGGTCGTGAGTGGGTGGAGCTGTGGTGTTGTTCCGGGGAGGGATTTGGCCCGATTGCTCGGCGAATTGTTTGCTGTGCGTCGGAGCGGCGTGGATGCGCAAGGCCTTCCCCTAGTCTCGTTTTTCGGGTTGATAGGGGCCGACGCTTTAACTCTTCCTCCAGTGGTGTTGGTCGGGATGTTGCAGCGGTGGTGTGGAGGTCTTTTGTGCAGCTGGCCGGCAATTTAGGGTCGAGACTGGGGTTATGGCACTCCATTGTTTTTGGCAACAATTGGGTGTTGTGGTCGTGGTGCAGATCGGCTTGCTGTGATTTCGAAGTTGGGGCTTCGATTCCGTTAGGCAACCGAGTGGTTTTGGCAGTTTCGGGTCGGTGCTTGTGGCTTTGGGATTAGTGGTTGGCTTGTGTCCGCTAGTTCAGTTCGGTGTTGCAGCTTTAGAAGGGCTCTTTTTTTTTTGTTTCTTAGTTTTTTTGGTGTTTAGTTTGTGTCTTTTTGTTTGATGTATTCATTAGGTTCTTGTGTTGTTTGGATGTGTTTTTGGTCTGGGCCGTTGGCCTCAGTGAGCCTGAGTGTGCCTTTATTATCCTGTTGGGATCGGGCATTACCCTGTTGGGGCCTTTATGTGTTGTTTATTTAGTAGTTTTTTTTTGTGGTTTTCGCTTATTACTCCGTTGGGGTCGGTTCTAGGCGGTATTATGACCTGTCCTCCCCATTTTTAGCCGTTGGTTGTTTCTATTCAGCTGTTAGCTGCTTTGTATTCAGCCGGTGACTGCTTTTTTGCACACTTGTGCTAGTTATATAATAGTTCTATCGTTTCGGAAAAAAAAAGATTGAAACCCTAATTTTAGCTAAAATTAGTCACGAAGCACAAAAGCATTGTAGAAGTCACAGAGTGATGAACCCATAACAATTTCATCCCAAAGGTCCAAATCCACCGGCGGGAAACCCACAAGTTCCCACACGATAAGTGGCGGGAAAATTATTATTATTATCCAATAAAAGTATCCAAATTTCCATTTTTCGACCCGAGCTACTATAAATCAACCCGCCCGCCCCCATTTATTAAGCTGCCTCGCTTTTATTCTTTCATTTTATTATATACTCCAAAAATTCTTCTGCTCGGGCTCGCTTTGGACGAGGAGAAAATCACCAAACCCTCGATATGGTGAAACCCTCCCGAGCAAAGGACTCGTCCGATGATTACTTGTCCGATTCCTCCTCGGAGGAAGAGGTTGTCAAAGATCTGGCGGTTGACGAGGAGGTGGACGAGGAAGAGCTCGAAGCCGTAGCTCGGACGGCCGACGATTCTGATGTAGAAGGTGATGACGACGAAGCACCCAATGTTGAAGAAGATGAAGACAATGAGGTTTGTTCGTGTGCGATTAGTTATGTGTACCCATGCTTTTTTTTTTCAGTTACTTGTTATTTGTTGTTCTTTTGTGTAGCTCCGAGCGGATCTGTTCGGTTTACTCGCCAGTTGTTCTTCTAATTTGATTTTTTGTGTGTTTTGTGATGTTTCTGGTGGTGGGTTTTATTTGATTCTGTTGAATTGAAGTGAATTATATATATTTTTTTTCTGAGATTTCAGTTTCTCTAATAGTTAAAACTATTTGAACTGATGAATGAATTGTGTCCTAATTATTTTCTTTTTGAGCACATGATGATGGGGCGGGAGAAAGATGTTTTTGTATTCTCTGTTTAGTTTGACAGGTTGGGAAACTGCTCATGTGTGCATTCATTGTTTGCCACTTGTGAATGGTTCAGTTGCCTCGACTGTTTAATTTCCATAAAATGGATGAGTGCTGAAAGAAAATTATGTGTTTAGATGTGGTAGTGGATGAAGTTACTTTATCCATGTTTTTTCTAGCTTGGGTATGTTAAGATTTGGAATTATTTACATTTGAGGAATGATGCAGTGGTCAATGTTAAAATTGTTTCCATGGTTCAGGAAGACAATGCTGTTGCAAATGAAATCTCAAAGCGTGAAAAGGCAAGGCTTAAGGACATGCAGAGGATGAAGAAACATAAAATACAAGAAATACTAGATGCCCAGAATGCTGCTATAGATGCTGACATGGTGAGAGTCTGAACATGAAAATTATTGCAGGATATAATATATGTACTGAGTAATACACGGGAGACAAAATTTTATTAATCTCGTATGTCTTCTGACAGAACAACAAAGGAAAGGGTCGATTGAACTATCTCTTGCAGCAAACAGAGTTATTTGCACATTTTGCTAAGGGTGATCACTCTGTCTCTCAGAAGAAGGTTAAAGGAAAGTGAGTAATGTCCTCTTTGTTATTGGTGTTTTAATTATCTGTGACTTTGAAGTTTGAAGCATGTTAACGTTTTCGCTCTTCCAATCATATGTAATCTTTTTAGTGTTGCCCTTTTCAAGTGCATCTAAAGAAGTGTTTTTCTCATCTTTGTGCTGGGATGCTTGGAAATTTGTGACCAGGAGCTCCTGGAATTTCCTTCTATGAAAACTTAGTTGCGTGATCAATAACTGGTTGTGCTCACTTTTGGGAAATCAATAAGTAATTGAATTCTTTGTCTGCTATGCGTTATTGGTAACGGGATTTTTTGTAGAATTAAGCTGCATAGATGCTGTAGTAAGTAATTGCCTTTAACTTGTTCTCAGATGCTGTTCTCTGAGGGAGTTTTTTCTATTATAGGTTGACTTATTTGGCCTCCAAAGTCCAAATTGTTTGTGAACTTTCAAAATGTTAGTGTGAGGATATTATGCTTTATTAGTTCTATTGTTGCACACAATGATGTAAGAGAATTATTGAATATGCTTTACTTTCACTTGTTCTGGCTGTCTCCTTTCCACCCCCAAGACTCCCGAATCTGTGCTGCAAATTGCATTTTTTTCCACCCTTTTTCTTGTTTCCTTGTGTTTGTAACAACGGCCAGCTGATATGATGGAGTCAGAGTGGTTTGGTTTGCCTGTAGGCATTCTTCTATTTTCTCTTATCTTTATTGTTGCTTTAATTTATAATTTCACCATTAGTTGGCATTGGGTGTTTGAGTAGAGATATTCTTGGTGAAAAACAAAATGTTTGGTGGTGGTGAAAGTGAAGTTCTTGAAAGCAAGTCCTGGATCACTAAGTTCATTTGGTTTTTAGCTTCATGATTTTTGGGATCAGGGGATCTTCTAAATTGTTAATGTAACCTCGGTTCTCTGATTTAATTTGCAGGGGTCGCCATGCATCTAAGCTAACTGAAGAGGAAGAAGATGAGGAGTGTCTGAAGGAGGAAGAGGATGGTCTTTCGGCCACTGGAAATACGAGGCTAGTGGCGCAACCTTCTTGTAAGATGATTTTTATTTTTGCCTTTATTTTGCACTGGTTATACTGGAATATGACCAATAGTTTTAACTAATGGAGCAGGTGTGTTGAGTTCCATAATCCTGGTTTATCTTGTACTGAATGTATTTATTTTACTGTGTCTTTGTTATAAAAAAGTACTGGATTATCATAGAGTTTGCTAAATTATGTGGCATATCATGCTTGTTGCGAACTAGGATCGCTTGATTTGGTTAATTTGACTTACAGGTATTCAAGGAAAGATGAGGGATTATCAGCTTGCTGGTTTAAATTGGATGATACGGTTATATGAGAATGGCATTAATGGGATTCTGGCTGATGAAATGGTATGAATTAACTAATCTTTGTACAATCCTTTTGGATCATTGATATTATTATTATTATTATTATTATTATTATTATTATTATTATTATTATTATTATTATTATCATCATCATCATCATCATCATCATCGTCGTCGTCATCTTCATCATCATCATCATTTTATTTATTTGTTTTTTTATTTTTGTAGGGGCTGGGTAAAACTTTGCAAACCATCTCCTTGATGGGCTATTTGCATGAGTTCCGAGGGATAACTGGTCCTCACATGGTTGTTGCCCCGAAGTCTACACTCGGCAATTGGATGAATGAAATCAAAAGGTTTTGTCCGGTGTTACGTGCTGTAAAGTTTCTTGGAAATCCTGATGAAAGAGTAAGCCTGCAACACCAACTTTAGATGTGCTTTCCTGGACTTCTATTACTATATATACGTAGGGTGTGTTTGCTTATAAAAATTCTCTATTCATACTCAAAATCTAACTTATCTTCAATGTTATCAATATAATTTATAATATCAATCAATATTCTTACACATCATATCAACTTTAATTCACTATTCACCCATTCACATAATTTTAATTATCACTTCACACCATCTCTCTCCTACTTTTACATCAAATCTACTTTAATATTAAATTTTAAATGTTATTTTAATATTAAATTAAAAATTTCACTAACAACAAACCATACCACCTTTTTCAAAATTAACCTTGGTTGACAAAAATACTCGTTTTGAGTGGATATATTTGTATCCAAGCACGCCCTTAATTCCACAAATTCTTGACCTTCCAGAGGTATATACGCGAGGAGTTACTAGTGGCTGGCAAGTTTGATGTTTGTGTTACTAGTTTTGAAATGGCAATCAAAGAGAAGACCGCATTGCGCCGATTCAGCTGGCGCTATATTATCATTGATGAAGCACATCGCATCAAGAATGAGAATTCACTTCTCTCGAAAACGATGAGGCTTTATAATACAAACTATAGGCTTCTAATTACTGGAACACCTCTTCAGGTATTGGTTTTCTCCCTTTGGCAAGTCATCTGGTTCACTTTTCTTGTATCTACAAATGTATGATGCTCGTGACTTGGGCTCTCTGTTCATCATGTGCAATTTACTTTTGCAGAACAATCTTCATGAACTCTGGGCTCTCCTTAACTTTTTGCTTCCGGAGATATTTAGTTCTGCTGAGACTTTTGACGAATGGTTCCAAATTTCTGGTGAAAATGATCAGCAGGAAGTTGTCCAGCAGCTTCACAAGGTATGCAATTTTACGTTCAGTTTCCATAATTCACTTGTCCTGGTAAAAGTATGATGCCATTATTTGATGGTAAATGAATCTTTTTACCTGCTGATTGGACCATTCAACTTTTTTTGAAGTTAATAACCACTTGTTGGAATTATCATATATTTTTCCATCTAGTTTTTAGTTATATTAGAGTTTACCTTATGTATTGATATATATTGTGGCAGATCATAATTACTATGCCACATAATAGTGTTAACACACCCAGTTCACAGAATGTCTAGATTGTTTGACTTGTCACAAGTAATTGTATATCACAAAGCAGTTAGAGACTGTTAGCCTTTTTATTTTTCTTTCAAATTTTTCTTTTTTCTCATATAATTTCTTGTCCAATGCTGATGGTGAAAAAGTAAAACGAAACACCTGTAATTTTTATCTGTGTATGATGAATATTTAGTTGGTCTTATAAGGTTATGTGTAACTAGCATGAACGTACCAGTTACGTTTTTGGCTTGAAAATTGTATCGAACAGAGTTAGTAGAGCCTTGGACGTCTTCAGGCGAGTCAGCTTTTATTTGAGTACCTTCTTTGACTATCTAATCTGTAGGTTTTGTGTATTGATGATTTCCTAGGTTCTTCGGCCCTTCCTTCTCAGAAGATTGAAGTCTGATGTTGAGAAAGGTTTACCTCCTAAGAAGGAAACAATACTTAAAGTTGGCATGTCTCAGATGCAAAAGCAATACTATAGGGCACTGCTGCAGAAAGATCTTGAGGTTGTAAATGCTGGTGGAGAGCGGAAACGCCTCCTTAATATAGCCATGCAACTGCGAAAATGTTGTAATCATCCATATTTATTTCAAGGTGCTGAACCTGGGCCACCGTATACCACTGGAGAACATCTAATAGAAAATGCTGGTACTGTCTTTTTTATGCATTATGCCAAAAATTGTATAAATTTGTTTACATATGAGACTAGATTTTGCCTCTGCCATCTTTACAAGTTTCATAAATTCTCTTTTGTTAGTAATGCTACTGTGACTATTTGTTGCAGGCAAGATGGTTCTTCTTGACAAGTTGCTTCCAAAATTGAAGGAGCGCGATTCCAGAGTTTTAATATTTTCACAGGTTAGTGTGCTTGCATTGTACACATATCTAGACTGACTTCTGCTTTGTGACACATATATTTGAGATTTAGTTTCAACTGTTCATACTCGATATACTTGGTATAAATTGTGGTTAATAAATTACATTTCGTTGCATGAAAAGATGACAAGGCTACTGGACATACTTGAAGACTACTTGATGTACCGTGGATACTACTATTGTCGAATTGATGGAAATACTGGTGGGGAAGATCGTGATGCTTCAATTGAAGCCTTCAACAAGCCTGGAAGTGAGAAGTTTGTTTTTCTACTGTCAACCAGAGCTGGAGGTCTTGGTATCAACCTTGCCACTGCAGATGTTGTCATTCTTTACGACAGTGACTGGTCAGTCTTTGCTGCTTCTATTGTTAATTATTAGTGATGGTCAAAGGCTAAGTTCTAGAATTTAAAATGACTTCAAAAAAAAAAAAAAAAAAATTCATTGCAGGAACCCACAGGTTGATTTGCAGGCCCAAGATCGAGCGCATAGGATTGGACAGAAGAAGGAAGTACAAGTATTCCGGTTTTGTACTGAGGTATGTCTTGTTAAGTTATCATTGTCTTTTGTCATACTGGTGACATAATCATCAATTTTGGGGAGCAGAATTTGCTCATGGAATTCCTATGAATTTATCCAGTACACTATTGAAGAAAAAGTGATTGAAAGGGCTTACAAAAAGCTTGCCCTTGATGCCTTGGTTATCCAACAAGGGCGGCTAGCTGAGCAAAAGAGTGAGTTTTTATTATCCATTGTCTTGGTTTGTTCCAATGTTCATACTTAGGGATTGCCAGAGTTTGATGATTTATCAATTTTTTGTTGTACAGCTGTTAATAAGGATGAACTGCTGCAAATGGTAAGGTTTGGTGCTGAAATGGTTTTCAGCTCCAAAGATAGCACAATCACGGATGAAGATATAGATAGGATCATTGCCAAGGGAGAAGAGGCAACAGCTGAACTAGATGCTAAGATGAAGAAATTTACTGAAGACGCTATTAAATTCAAAATGGATGACAGTAGGTTTCTTATGATTTACCTGATTCTAGATGTTTATTGTGCTAATTCATTTATCTGGAGCCTTTTTTTGTTTGTGAGCCTAATCTGGCTATTGGTTTTTCTGCAGATGCTGACTTGTATGATTTTGATGATGAAAAGGTAAGCTTATGTGCTAGCTGCCGAGTATCTCTCACTTATTTTATTTCTTTTCATATTTTTTCTAACTCAGTTTCTCCTTGTTGGTAAAGGATGAAAATAAGCTTGATTTCAAGAAAATAGTCAGTGACAATTGGATTGAACCACCAAGAAGAGAAAGGAAACGCAAGTATGTTCTTTCTGTTGATAAATGCTTATGCTTACATGTCAAATATTGTCAGTAAGGGTGGATTAATATCAATTTCATCATTCTTCCAGTTACTCTGAATCAGAGTACTTCAAGCAGACAATGCGACAAAGTGGTCCTGCACGACCAAAAGAACCTCGAATTCCTCGCATGCCGCAGTTGTGAGTTATTTTGGTTCATTTACTTCTATTTAAATCATATACAAAGTTACTAACATATAATCAAGCTTTTTGCATCTCTAACACATCTTTTATAGACATGATTTCCAGTTCTTCAACACACAGCGCCTCACTGAGCTCTATGAAAAAGAAGTGCGCTATCTTATGGTGGGTGTGCCTAGCTTTTCTCTTGCAGCTCTTTCTTTCTTTTTTTTTTTTATTTATTTCACTTCTGATGGGTAATGCTTTTCTGTTGTGATCACTTTTAGCAAACGAACCAAAGGAATCAAGTTAAGGACACTATAGAGGTGGAAGAACCAGAAGGTCTGTTTATTTTGTGAATGCCAACTTTACTGTCATTTTCTGTCGCAACTGTCTTGAGACATTGTTCTGTATCCAGAGGTAGGAGACCCATTGACTGCTGAGGAGCAGGAAGAGAAGGAGCAACTTCTGGAAGAGGTAAATTTCATGAATTTTTGCATGGCTCAAAACTCGTTCATTTAATAAGAGAGTTCAGATCAAATCGGTATTGTGACCACTGTGGAATGTAGGGGTTCTCAACATGGAGCAGAAGAGATTTTAATACCTTCATCAGGGCATGTGAAAAGTATGGTCGAAATGATATCAGGAGTATTGCTTCTGAAATGGAGGGGAAGACATTGGACGAGGTGGAAAGATATGCAAAGGCCTTCAAAGAAAGATACAAAGAGTTGAATGGTGAGGCTGCTTTAGATTAACATTATTTGGAATTTTCGCTGTCTTCATAACCTGAATGTGGAATTTTTATGTTCTTGGTTGCTAGAATAATCTTTTTTGGCAATAAGGTAGTGAAGATGTGTGCAGTTGGAAAAAATATGATATATTGATTAAGCGATAATTACAATTAGTAGTTTGATACTCTTTAGGCTTTCCATAATTTAGATAAAGAATTTTACTATTTGAAATTGCAAGTACCTGCTTTGACATGTTCTTTTAATCTATACTTGCGCCTATTGAGAGGGTTGGTTAGGCAAGCACAAATCCCATTGGATATTTATAATTTTGAAGCATAATTAATTGTTTCATTTGTGCAATTGAACTAGATTGTGAGGGTGAGTTTTGTTTCAAGTAACTCATCAGAAATCGTGGCCATTCTGTTCAAAACTACCAGTTGTTGTCTTGGAATTACTATGGCCTTTACCTGCTGATATAACATGGTGCTAATAATGTATTTGATATTGTCCAGATTACGATAGAATAATTAAAAACATTGAGAGAGGAGAGGCCAGAATTTCGCGAAAAGATGAGATCATGAAAGCTATTGGGAAGAAATTGGACCGCTATAAGAACCCTTGGCTGGAATTAAAAATCCAGTATGGCCAGAACAAAGGGAAGTTGTACAATGAAGAATGTGACCGCTTTATGGTTAGATTTTCAATATTCATAATTACATTTCATCTCATCTTAAGTATTTATAATTCTGAAGCTTAATTTTGGTTAACTGTTCTTATCAAGATATGCATGGTCCACAAGCTTGGATATGGTAACTGGGACGAGCTGAAGGCAGCATTTCGTACTTCACCTTTGTTTCGCTTTGATTGGTTCGTAAAGTCCCGTACAACTCAAGAGCTTGCAAGGAGATGCGATACGCTAATACGGTTGGTGGAGAGAGAAAACCAAGAATATGACGAGAGGGAGAGACAGGCACGCAAAGAGAAAAAGCTAGCAAAGGTAAAAGACCCTCTATGATAAGTCTTGTTTAGGACTTTCAGAACCATTGCTCCTAGTTTTGGACTTGAGGCTTTCAAAAATTGATTTAATAATGTGCACGTGTTATTGTTTTTGTTTCATGGCAGAATGCGACCCCATCAAAGCGTGCTGCTGTTAGACAAGCTGCCGAGAGCCCTCCATCCACCCAGAAAAAACGGAAACAACTTTTGATGGATGACTATGTTAGTTCGGGAAAGAAGAGGAAATGATGGCAGTAAGTGGTTTCAAATGTTCGATCGACATCTTTTTTGCCTCGATGGAAATTGGATTGCCGTTGGCTCTTGCTCTCATGTCGTTTTGGCTTATTGATTGGCTTTGGGAGTATAGTACGCAATGGCTTATTAGATGGTTAAACTTGGATTATTATATGGTATTGGAGTGTATTAAGACAGAATTCCCTCGATGGAGTAAAATTAATGCTGGAGTAGTAGTTATAGAATTATCAGTATCTGGACACTAAACCAGTGATGTGCTATTTTGTTTGGCCGGCTTTTTAGTGCCCAAATTATTATTAGCTACTTTTCTACATAGTTTTCTATGGCTGTGGTGCTGTAGAGAATCATCTGTTTTTATTTTGGCGTATGGGTATGTTGGAGATCTGACGCAGTAGAAAACGTACGATGAGAACAATAAGAATTCTCAGAAGAACTAAAGAGAGATATTTTATTTTGGCAGAAAACGTACGATGGGAACAACACGAATCCGGAGGTATCTCGTCGCCATCAAGATCAATGTTTTAAAAGGTGGCATAAACTAGTACAATATTCGTGCACTACACGGGTTCATGTTAACAAAATTACATTTTAAATTAAATAATAATAATAATATTTTTTTAGTTTCTAATATTTTCTTTAAAAAAATATTATTATTTATATTTAAAATAGCATTGTTACTTACACTACTTACCATCTTATATTATATATATTTTTTTAATTTATATTAGATAAATAATTTGTAATTAAGTCAGTTTAAATAGTTTTTTTTTTTTGAATTAATATTAATTAATATTAATTCTTATTATAAAGATAAATTAAATTATTTATTATTCTGTACGAATAATATAGATGCCAGAACAGAATATAGATGTCACAACAGAATGTATTCCTCAATAACATTCTTAGTTAAATAGATGTCACAACAGAATGCATTCCTCAATAATATTCTTAGTTAAATAGTTTGATAATAAAAAATTACATAAACAACAAAATGTATTCTACTAATGTTTGTTAATAAATTATTCTTAAATTTAATTGGGTACTACCACCTATTGAGTAATTTATAATTAGATAACAAATAAAATAACAGATCCAGACAATACATTAGATAACAAATATAAATAACAAATTAAGGGTTATAATTAGATAACATTAGATAACAAACGCCGGTGGGGGTAACAGGGAGAGGTTTCCTTCTATAAAATTTATAATTAGATAACAAATAAAATAATAAATAAAATTTAAGATAATGCATTTAAAATAATTTGGACCTAATGATCATAAATATGAGACATAACAAATAAAGGGTTATATTGGTCAAAGTGTTATGAAATTACATAAATTAGCTTTTTAATATATATGGAATGACGAATCTAAAATTATTTATTTAGAATAACTTTATTTTTTATCCAAACCAAATTTCAAAGCATAACTAGTGAGAATCCCGTGCGATGCACGGGGATTTCGTTGTGTAAAATATTTTTGCAAAACTTTATTTTAACAATGTATTATCCCGTTGATCCGTCTATATTAATATAAAAATATTTTAACATATATATTTATTTTTTAATACAAAAAAATAATAATTTTACATATTTTGGTTCATCATAATACTCAAATATTATTTTATTAAAAAATTTATTGTTGTATAATGTCAATATTATTTATAACATTTATAGAAGTAATATTTCTTTTTTATATAATGATAAAGATTTAATGTATATTAATATTATTTATTGATGTGATTAATTTAAAAATATATAAGTAAACCTAATGTTTGTTAGGAATGTGATACTCGATATTTTAGGTACAAATATATGATATATATGTACAAATATATGATATGAATATCTTGAGATACAAAAGAGATTTTATGTGATTTATTACCTTAATTAATTCGCCGTAATTACCTTAATTGTATCTTTAAACCATACAATAAAATATTAAATAGTTTCCAAAATTAGTAAACAATATTTTTTGGCGATAAATAGTTACTATTTAAAAATTTATAGTATGAGTCCCGTGCAGCGCACGGGTAAGAGATACTAATATTTATAAATTAAAAGTTCTTTGTAAGCAATATTTATAAATTAAAAAAAAATATAGAATCAGTGTGTAATACAATTACATATTCTAATTTATTGAAAATGTTATATAAAGTTTAAATTGTACAAAATTACATAAAAATGTCTATTTAAAATTAGTACACAACCCGTGTGGTGCATTTAACCGATAATAAATCACATTATATTCGTTTCAAAATAAGTATCACTTCAAAAATTTTATTCAGAAATTCGATTTGACTATAATGTGATTACATAAAATAGTTATTTCGGTAAATTGTTATCATATATTTAACAACCTATGCGGGTAATAAGTATAAATATAAGATTTTTATTGTTTCGTTACTTAAAATAATTTATTTTTTATAAAACTATTTAAATAAAAAAATTAAGTAGTTGAGTAATATATTAAACTATAAATAATTGACTATTTCGTTTACGTCCAAGTTACTATTGACCCGTAAGTTAGTTGAGTAATTTTAAATTATAAATAATTGGCTATTTCGTTTATATCCAAATTAATATTGACCCTAAAATTATGAATAAATTTTTTTATTTTAAATTATAAATAAAAATCTTTAATTTATTTCTATATAATATATACCAAATTTAAACCATGCAACTAATAAATGTTACAGCTGCAAGTTTTGTCAATATATTATATTTCAAATTTAAATCACGGAACTAATAAAGGTAATAGTCGCAATATTTGACCAAACTAATTTTGTACATTAATTACATTAATTTAGGCTGAATTTTTCAAATTTGAAAAAAAAAATATTACTCAATATAGTAATACTTTAGGCGGGAAATCATTTTTTTTTTGCTGATTTTTAGTTGCTATTTCAAGTAAATATCATTGTCTCTTTATATATTAATAGATAGATATATACACAAGATCCAAAACGCCATTTATTTGGTTAATAGTTGATAAAGTCAAAATGACATTTAAAAAGAATATGATGTAGTATGTATTAAGATATTTTTTTTTTTAAAAAAAATAAAAATTAACCACCCAATTTTATTATATTCAAATATTTGATATTTCTAACAAACTAAATCTTATACTCTTATAGCTTATGCAATAGGAAATTCTATTTACGCTACGTAGTATAAGAACTAAAACGTGACGAATTAAGTTATAAATATTTTAAAACACTAAAAGGTATACAATTTCAGTATGAATGATCACTAAGATGATATTACATTATTATGTGGAAACTCGTGCGTCAGGCAAGGCTAAAAAATTCAAAATGTTAAAATTTAAGAAAATAATTTATTAAAAGCAAATAAATAATGCAACAGGCAACCAATTTAATGCATAATATATCATGTTTATATATATAAATGTTGTACTATTAAAAATTTTAAGTTTATAATTTTTTGTTAAACCGAAAATACGTGTTGTACATATTAGAGCATCTCCAATGCTCAATGTTGTAGTGATAAATTACATTCCACATTAATACATTTATTAATATCACCATTTTTCATCCTCCAATGTACAATGTGATCACAAATGTTGTGATGATGTGGACATAATTAATGTCTACAATGTAGAGAAGAATGTGGTTCATCCACATTCTACTCCATACTCTAGTTAGCCAATGAGAATAAGAGAGAGAATTATTATTACCATTTTCAAACTATTTAATTATTTAATTAATTTTATTAATTCATATTAAAATTTTAATATAACATTGTGCATTAGAGATGATTTTTTAATTTAATAGTGGTAAACTCAACATTTGTCCTACATGGTTCACAATCTATTTAATTTTTTGACATTTGTCGAAAGAAATTTCTATAACAACATTAGAGCATTGGAGATAACTTAATTAGTTAAAAATTATCAACACGAAATATTTTTTATTAGTATCAAAACTAATTGATAGAGTCCCAATAAATTTGGTATGTGTTGAAAAATTGGAGAAGGTAGTATTGATTAGTTATTTTATAGAAAGATAGATCTTCTATATACCACAAACGTGAGATTTTATATAGTTTCGAACTTGTGGGCGTGGCCGAATTTTTCTAAAGCATTCAGAAATGTTTTAACTAATTTCCATAAAAATAGGTTTCTTCTCAACTTTTTAAGTGGATTACAGGCAAAACAAAATCTTGTACAAATCTATACAATCCAATCCGATATTCCACAATCAATTGTATCATTTTGTTTTAAATTTTCTAAAATGCTTATCCCATTTTTTTTTTTTTTAAAAATTACTTATTATAGTAAGTATTAAGTGGGAATTTGAAATGTTTTTTAGTTACTATTTTAGATTTATTAGGATCCTCTTTATATTATAATAGATAATAGATATATTGCCAAGTAGAATTTCGAAGCGTGAGAAGCTGCCACTTAGACTCAACGCATTTGAGAATTATATATAAGGGGATAATGTTGTGACAACATTGCGTGTTGTGTTGCTTAAGCTATTTTACATAAAAAAATATTTAAAAATAATATTATACTTGTACAATATCCGTGTATTATACTGGAATTGAGTTAAGAAATATATGATAAAAGTTATTGATAAAATAATTTTCTTATGAAAATTTTGATGGAATAATTAATGAAAAAAAGGAATAGATGTGTAAATCGTAATTTAGGAGAGAAACATGAGAGAAAATTATAATATGCTAATTGATAAGATTGTTATTTGCCCAAACTAAGAATAAAATGTGTACTAAGAAAAAAAAAATAACAAAATTATATATACACTTATCAAGTTTGAAAAAAAAAAGTTATTTATATTTAATACTAAGTCCGACTCCATAAGAAAAATAAATATATAACAACATTACAAGGCATAGATTTTCGTCATCTCAACTTTCGAAATATATTTTGAATTAATATATAGGGAGGGATATATAAAAAAAAAAAAAAGCATTTATGTTTAAAAAAAGTTTCATGAAAATTTAATTCAA